CGTGCACGAGAGAGTGAGAAAGAGATCTGAGAATAGGATGCGAATGCTATTTCCTTCCATTTCTCCTTCCTTCGCCCCCACATAAAACACTCCTCGATTTGTAACCTATTGCATCGCGCCAAGCTTGCTGCGGTGTACAATAAGCAACAGATTATGGTTGTATGCGAAGTGATTTCACTCTATTTGCCAACGTTTATTATCTCTGAGTGTAGGTGCAGTGGCGGATCTTTCTTACTTTTTCGGTTATATGTTTGACAAAGAATGTTTTGCAAATTATAATACCTGTGTTATTAGTAAGACTACTAGCTTGAAAACAGAGACGTAGCTGAGGTTGATGGGGCCTTACTGTCAAATTTTCATTGGCGGTCCTTGAGAAAAAATTAAAAACTATTGGGGACAGCGCAAGTTGTAAAAAAGAGAAGGCCTTTTAGATAAATTGTTTCAGAAAGGCTTTCATTTAGGGTCATAAAACTTTCAATTTCCTTTCTGAAAAAAGAGAATCGCAGATTATTATTAATAATGTTTTTTTGATTGGACGCCCTATTGAAGATCCCGAGTGTAGAATGATTTCATAAATGTCATCACATCCAAAACGATTTATTTTTACAACCCTACACCAGATTAAATACGAATCATCTCTCTTCCTGTACCATTACCCATCCGCATCCAGAACAGCAATCTGTAATATGCTAAGTGACATATAAATCCGAACACCCAGTTTAAATGGTTTTATTTTAATAAAATTTTGTATAAGTACTTAATGAAGCATAATAAGTAAATGATAAAAATTTCAAAATTTTTGCACTGCTTTAAAGCCCTTTGACCTTTAATAATGTGTGGATACACCCTGATGTGCTACGCATTTTCCAACGCGCCTAGGCATGCTTCTGATCAGGTGGTTAATGTCCTCCTGTGGTATCTCATTCCAGGCAACCACCAACTCCTCTCGAAGTGCTTCTAGAGTCTGAGGAGGACGTTGCAAATTGAGCAATCTCCTACCCATCATATCCCACAGGTGCTCAATTGGGGATAAGTCGGGAGATCTTGGTGGCCATGGTAACTATGTGACATCATTATGTTGAAAGAAGTCTATTGTGACTCTTGCAACATGTGGTCGGGCATTATCTTGTTGGAAAGTTAGATCTGCCAGGGTGTCAAGATAGGGTAAAAGATGGGGTTCTAGAACTTCGTGGATATAACGCTGCGCGTTCATGTTACCTCTGATGAAGATTAAAGGTGACCTGGAACCATAAGCTATAGCACTCCAAACCATAACTCCAACAGTGTGATGAACATGTCTTTCAATAAAAAACTGTGGATTCCTCCTTTCACCACGTCGCCTTCTAACCCTGGCACGACCATCGTGCATGCCTAAACAAAATCGAGACTCGTCACTAAAGACAATACTGTCCCATTCCTGATCCCAGAGTGACCGTTGTCTGCATCACTCAAGGCGATTACGTCGGTGTTCTCGAGTTAAAGGGAGGACCCAGTGTGGCCGGTATGAAAACAAGCCAAAACTTCTCATTCGTCGGTAAACACTTCGCATGCCAATAGGTCTTCCATGTTCTGCAAACCATTCATTTGCAATGGACCTGGTAGTGGAGAAACGGTCCCTTAAGGCCAATAATCTTAGGCGGCGATCTTCACGGTCTGTTGTTGTACGGCGGCGTCCAGTGCCCCTTGCTCTTTGCGTACGGCCTTCTCGAAGCCATGCCTGACAACACCTAACCACACTGTCTACACTTCTTTGCACTCTAACTGCAATTGCCCAAAAAGAAAGTCCAGCTTCCCGAAGTCCAACTATTCGGCCCCTATCAAACTCACTAAGTTGACGAAATCGTACAGGTCTCCGTACTCTAGGCATCGTAACCGATCGTAAAGGATGTCAAGAACCAAAATCCGCCAACGTTGATTCTTTACTGCGGCTGAAATATTCATTTTTAGAGCGTTAGTGAATTAAAAAAAGCAGTATAAAAACCGGAATGTCCAACTGATAAGGCTCTTTTCAATTGTTATTTACATTAAGATAAATACATTCACCAACTTTTATTAAAATAAAACCATTTAAACTGGGTGTTCGGATTTATATGTCACTTAGTATACATCCTGACATGCAGTAACAAAAGCCAACAAGCACTGCGCGCGACATTTCTAGTCTAATTTTGAATCAAGTTTCATCGTCGTTTCTTCTTAGCGAGTCTCACACATGGCGTCGCTCCCTCTTGTGCTATGGAGGTGTCGAGCAGAAAAGAGGTCATTAGTTTGACGCCTTCAACTCGACGTACAAACAGAATTAAAGCAATGATGTCGGGACTTAGTCCGAGAAGAGCTTGCCGAAAAGGCGCTATTTCTACATTTCAAGATGGCGGTGCAAAACGTTTTGGTGCAGAGTGTTGCTTAATTATATGCTGTAATTGCAAGGGCGCATTCCTTAATAAATTTAAGTAAAAAAGGTTATATAAATATGTGACCTAAAAGTACTATGAAACGATACAGGTTGTCAAGTTTAGAAAAAAGTTGTGCCGATTTTGTTGAATTTTGTCTGCGTTGTTCATAGCAATAAGACGCTAAGAGCACTAACTGGAAGATAATTTATGATGGGTTCAAGCGGCAGCATCACGAATAATATTGCCAAAAAATGTATTTCAAAGGCTTTAAAAAAATATATATTTTAGGGGATTAGGCAGCTGATGACACATGATGAGATAAAAAATCTCTTGGTATCTTTTCGTATCTTACATCGTTTTCGAGGAAAAAACTCTATTACATGTCAAAAGATTGTCAAAATTAAATAAAATTAACTTTGTTATTACGAACATATTTTTGACTTTCCATGACAGTTTACTATTATATTTGTTATCTCTGAGATGTTAACCAAAAAAAAAAGAATAATAATTTACCTTGGCCACCAGACTTTTTTCATGAACTTGATGAACTGCTCTCAACTTTTTCATTATCTTTTCCGAATTATCGGTACTTCTACTACTGTTGAACAATTTACTGATCTGTATTTTTCTTCTAGGTAAGTGTCACGACAAATCAACACTAACGTGAGTAATCTTTTTGTTAACATGTCTTCATATATATACCTTGTTATTAATCTTCACGATTAACTACTTGGGTTAACACTAACTTATAGGTGACACATGCTGCCAGATTAGAATATAGCATTTATGTCCCAACCCAACTTACTTTATCAGCCACACCATCCCATGCTATTGAAAAAGGTGGTAATACGACCCAACGGAGATTTCCTCATATTAGACATCGTATTTGATAGAACACTGACCAGTCGCAAAACAAGTCCTTTAGGCCGGATTTTACTAAGAAAAAAATCGCGTGGTTCACAAATTCAACGTATTTGAAACAATGGATCTAATGAATATGGTCGATTTCTTGTAAAATGTCTCTCAAACTATAGAATAATTATACGGTTTGTGTAAGATATCAAATCGAGAAATACGTCTTTCGTATGTGGTAGACAGTCTCTGACTGTCGAACGTGGAGGTATCACCCGGCGGATTTCTAAGGCGGTGCCAGAATGTGTGCATGCTGCATGCACACGTGTTCCCTCGCTATCCTATAGCCCCACGATACCCATCGGGTGTTTAGGCCTTAGGCCATCGTGATGATTCAAGTATAAAAAAATAAATCACTTGGTTCAGCTACAAGAGCCTATTTTTCCATTTGCGTTTGGACCCTGGTCATGAAATGCACCAATGAAAAAGAAGAATTTGCCCCATACTCGATGCATCGACACAAATCTGATACAATATCTAGATTGGATATCAGAGCAATTAAATGAGCATTTTATTTTAAATAACAGTGTACCACTGTTGCTGTACAAAATACACCTTGATAAATTTTTTGAAGATAAAATTACAGAATGCTTATAATTTAACTAACATCGAGTAAATATTCAATTTACTTGACTACCGTGCGAAAAACCTTGTTCCTTAAGCCACCTCTGATAACAAAAGCTCTCGCGCCCTCTACTGGGCGGTAGGATGATGACTACTTCCAGCCTTGCCACCGTCACCGCGGCGCGGTGTGGCCGCGTAGACATCCTACCATCAACTATAGTGGCTGGTTTTAGGAACAGGGTTTTTCGCACGGTATTCAAGTAAATTGATCATTCACTTGATGTTTGTTAAACGGTACTCGGAAGTATTCCGTAATTTTATTTTCAAAGAATTTATTAAGCAGAATTTTCTACAACACTGAGACACCGTTCCAATAAAATGCTTCTTTAGCAGTGTTAATTTGCTATAGCAGTAATAAACCGAACCTTGTTTTCTGGCCATAGGCAGGTAACGTAACATATCGCTACGTATGACTAGGATAGCTGAGGTCTATAGCAAATAACTAGCTAGACCTACTTAATTTTGAAGACTTTGAAGACTCTTCATTAGTCTGAGGTCACGAATGTCACACGTCAAATTATAGAATCAAGAAATTTATCATTTGTCCACATGCATTTAGGCAAGATACATTTTCGAGAGCTTTTTAGATTGACTGTAACCATCAACAGCTGTAAAAGTAAGTAAATCGAATATCGATGGTCTTCTCTGGTACTCGATGGCATATTTGCCATGGTTCCGATGGGCAGAATTCTGGGGGATTCTGGATCCACGATTCTCTCAGTTCTTTTTTGTAAAGCGATCCGCTGCAATATTTATACTTGGATTGACTGTTCATACAAGAAACAATTCTATTGTTACTGGTAGAATTACACAGTCTTTGCAACTGCCAGAATTGTATTTCTGCTATCTGTGCAGATCTTAGTATTTTTACCTGAGGACAATTCCATTTGCACCAAACAACAAAAAGAACTACATATTTAAGTATTCACGGCCAAAAGTGAATAATGCATATTAAATAAAGCCTACTATTACACACGCATTCTTTTTTTGGACTATTTTTCCTTTTTTCCAGATTGATAGAATCTTATATAAAACGTCTTCGTGTTGTTTTTCACAAACGATCATTGAACCAAATATCCATATCATAATATTTTGGTTTTATTTAGCTTTTAATGTAAACCCCATTAAAGAACACAACTCAACAAACTCAGGTGATCTACTTGGTAGACTAATGACTATCCGTAGGTATCTCTTGACATCCTGCACTGCATTTCCAGAAACATTCTGACAGACAATCAAGGAACCTGGAACCGAAACTTGGATGAATAATTCTCCGTCGGTCTTTTGCTAAATATACTGAACAATCAGAATTCATGCTGGCACTTTGGTTACTGTTACACCTACTTAAAGTCCCCTGAAAAAATGAGTACAATTATTCATTGATTTTGAAATGTTCATAGTTTGTTGTTGTCGGCATCAAGGAATGTAGGCACACCAGACAACAGCTTTTGTTTGCTGCCGGTGTTGAGACGACACTGTCAACTTTGTAAGAATCTCTATCTACTACTATATATCAACAAAGGTTTTGGTCCAGACTTGATTCCTGCCGTTGTTTTGTACTGAAGAGCAACGGAGCTTGTTCCAGATCTTTCGCGTCTTTTCAAGGTATCTTCCGATTCCGGTACTTGCCCAGAAAACTGAAAATTTGCGCATGTGCAGCCCAACCCAAGAAAAGGATCTCACACTGACCCTACTATAGACCTATGGCTCTAATTTCTGTTATAGGTATGGTGATGGAGAAGTGCAAAATCGCGTGCTTATGGTGTACCTCGAACGTCACGGCTTGATTAGCGAGAGGCAGTATGGTTTCCAGCACTAGCGATCTACAGGGGACCTCCTAGCATACGTCAGGCAATTGTGGAGTAAACTCATCCAGTCTTATGATGAGGCTCATGTTGCTGCTTTTGATATCATGAAAGCATCCTACAGCCTCCCAAAGAAGCTTTCCTGGCTGGCTGGCTGGCTGAGTTCCTCTCTAGCCGCAACATGTCGCAATTGACAGGTTTTCCTCTTCATCCCACAATGTCATTGCGGGTGTTCCCCAGGAACCGTCGTAGCTCCGACACAGTTCCTTTTACATATTAACATCACTCTACATGCAGGAATTCGTATCGATCTCTGCTGGTGAGCTGGAGAAAAGACGAAGAACGACTTCCTCTCTTACGAGAGATCTGGAGGTTATCACTGCTTGGGGACGCAACAATCTTGTACAGTTTAATGCTTCTAAAACACAAACTTGAGCTTGCACGAACATATCTCGTCAATTGCGGCAGCTGTTGGGAAAAAGCGAGGCTATTTGTTTAGGGCTAAGAAGTACTTTTCTCCGTATGAACTCATCAATCTATTCAAGGCCCAGATACGACAATTCATCTGAGGAGGCTTTTAGCATTTCCATTAACCTTAAGCAGTTCTTCTAACTTTAGGTAATTCCAAAATCAACAAACTTCGCTAAAGCTTCTCATAAGTTGCGTTGCCCTTATATTTAGGTTTCTGCCTCGGGGCACGTTCGATATAAAAAAGGACTGTGAACAGAAGACAGCTCCAATAGCTTGGAGTTGCAGATGATTCAGCCCTTGCAGACGACATGCAATGCGCCCACTGTGGCCTGAATAGCTGATTAATCTTCCTCCATTCAGTATATTTGGCAATGTAGTCATAGCCTACTCGACTATAATTCTCATACTCAACATCAGTCGCTCCAAGCGCAGTATTCTCTCGAATCCGTCTAAGGTCTAAGGTATCAACCAGCATTTATGGATCGCATGTTCGAAGTTGTACAACTTCTAGATCGCGAAACGGTTCTGGAAATCAGTGTTTGTCTTACCTCGGATATAGTAGCTGTACTTAGGTTGACTTGCAAAGAAACTGGCACTGATCTAGCTGAATTCGATCTACTAAAACTCCTCCAAGAATGCGCTTTAGAGCTGGCTGATGTACTCCTACTCCCAGTAGTCACTCCCACGTTACGCTTGGAGGGCTTCCTCGGTCGGTTGATGCTGTTTAGTGTCGCTGAAATGCTTTGCAAGATTTCTTCGTCTATGTAGGGTACAAAGCACATGTGTTGCTCACGAAAACTGTCAATTTGACTCATCTTGGGAGAGTGTACGCCGAAAGGTTGAATTGTATTCTTACATACTGGGCGAGACAACACTTTTAACAGAATACACATCAACACAAGCGTTGACTGAATAAGATTTGGTTTTGCAAATTAAAAGGTTTCGGGAAATAGAAAATTTCTCCTTTGTCAGCAACTGACAGAAGGATGCAACGTACAAGGCAACTCGGTAATTCGTGCTAGAACTGTATTTTGGTTTCTATTCTCTACTTGACTAACAAGAAGTGTCCTAGCGCTCATCCGGTTTCGACGGAAGGTCGAGTTCTACCAAGGAATCCAGATCACCGAGGAGTTGATCTGGCACGAACACACTTCGTCAATAATGGCAGTCGTTGGGAAAAAGCTAGGTTATTTGTTTAGGGCTAAAAAGTACTCCACATGCCCTCCTGACTGTGTACAAGGCCCAGATAAGACCTAGCCTTGAGTATAGCTCACATATTTGGGGTGCTGTCGCCTCGACTATATTATTCATTCTCGATGCTGTTCAGATGAGGCCTGTCCGACTGATCGATAACTCTTCTGTAAAGGACTTTTCGCATGGGCGGGCATTTGGCAATCTAGCTCTCTTCTACCGCTATGCAAAAGGGCTTTGCTCCTCAGAGCTCTCCTCCATGGCACAATGTGCCTGTCAGACAGATCCGCCTGACTTCGGTCGCCCATCCTAACCATCTCGAACTTCGTACATCCACAACTGGCCGTCACGACCGCTCCTTTGTGCCTAGGGAATCGACATTGTGAAACAATTTACATAAGGAGGCTTGTCTCAGTTTATACTAATCTTGGGTGCTGTTTCGGTGTTAAAAACAATTCACTGAGGTATAATCTGGAATGCTAATAGTAGATGTCTTAGGTTATAAACATCTCTCAAAATTGTTCATGGGCTACAAAGATGTCTAAAATGCAATGCAACACGACTTGTTTTGTTTGACAGTTTGACCTCGAAGCATACTAGCGCCCCTAACGGGAACAAAATTGGACATCGCTGTCAGCCAGGAGGTATAGTAATCACGAACAATTGGACACATAGAGCCAATTTGCTTGATGCCATGTTTTTTGTGTTCTCGATCGGTGAGGGTCATATTTACTCGTTTGATCACCTAGCCAAAAATTGTTTCAGGTACATTTTTGAGCAAATTAAAGCATTTTTCATTGATCTGCATAATAGGTGCAGTTAATAATTTTAATGGTTAAAATTATAAAATCCTTATACTCGGGTATTTTCAGAAACCATTCTGTAGCTCTTTAGGATAAAATGTGGTTACAGTGTCCTTGACAACAGATTTGTTTATGTAAAAATCAAAATAGGTATACAGGGGATGCTGAAAGTCAGGACTTTCACCTCGATGGCCTTTGCACGATATAAACAAACCTACGCGGCTCAAGATAGAAACATCCAGAAAAACGATCTGAATATACCCGCGATGTATCAATAGCATTTGGAAGGCACTCGGCGTAAATTAATATCAAATCGATAACTCGCGCAATTACTATAGTAAAGTGGCAATTTCGGATTCTTAAAATCCGATTTGTAATTAAACTAGGTGAACCTACACTCCGCGGGGCAACTGATTTAGATACTGCCGCACATATACCTTTTCACGTAAGAGGCAGGGTTGTGCTGAGCCATTCAGATTTTTTTCGGATCCTGATATCTCTATTATCTTAAGGCTATAATGTATCTGTTAATAAGGAAAATTTGCTTATTGTTGTATGATCTATACACTCTGTAAAAGAAAGTCCTAACTTTAGGGACACCCTGTTGCAGTATGTGGCAAAATATTATGTTCATCAGTAATACAAACATTCATTTAAAGTATTATCCTGTTTCTTGTCATCATTGCCATGTAGAGTTTATAACGCGTGTCGGTGTTATCTTCACCCGCCCAGTATATCATAAAGCCGTTTCGCTAGTGGCAAAAGACAACGATTCCACGGTACAAAGAGCATATGCTAAGCGAGAAGAATTAATTTTCCGTGTTAGACAATTTTCTTGAATATAGGCGTAGCCTAAATGGCAGGGACGCTCTGACAGGTAGTATTATCAGTTTTACGGCTAATCCGTCCCTGGAAGGAAGACTTATTTCCACTAGCGCCATTTATGGGCCTGTATCTTTGTGTAGAAGCTTCGTGCAGCATTTCGTAGGAACTATTGGAATTATTTTTGTGTCTTCTATATGCATCCAAAATATCGACATATTATTCTGGGACACCCTGTATTCATCCTTCTGGTGTTTGCTATCGCAAAAGTGAGTAACAATGTGGCACATCGCAGGATTGATGTGGGCTAAGAAAGGAAAGAAATATCCAATTACACAGTTTGATTTGATTTTTGATGACAAGCATGACCTATTATTAAATACTAAAGAAGCTCTCATTGCTTCATACATCATGCAAATCTATTGAATAAAATGTTGCATGTGCGTTTATAATAGGTACTTATACATCACTTGATACAAAGCATGATTAATAGCTACTCTTACTTTTGAATAGCATGTGGGTTTTTTGAATAATTGGCTAGAGGATACCTCTAAGACGGACATGCATTGAAATGGAAGTTTTGAAATTAGTTATACAGAAGGGTAACATCAAGAAAGGATGTTTGTTTGTAATAGGTTGCTCTGTATATTACTTTCTTAATCAGCTCCTCTTCTACCCGATCTTGATAGTGCAGGGTTTTGGTGTTTGATATCAGTCTATTCTTCTTCAGTTTGGATTTCTTTTATTTTCTTTCTCCACCATGTTCTATCCTTCTGCTGCTTTCCAATCCAAACCTATTTGTCTCAAGTACCTCTATATTTCGTCATTCTACTGCTTGGTCTCCCTTTTACTTCCCGCGCCTACTGAAAAATCCTCCCGTTGGTGCAAGAAGGGTTGGTGTTACTGATCATTGTTCAGGATATTTACTCGTATGTATTACACAGAAGCAACGCAACTGAAATCGAAATCGGGTTGAAGTCGAGTTGCCTTAGAGTTTTTAATGAGAAGAGTGCCTTACATCCACGGCAGAAGAAAAACTTAGCTAGAATTTATTGCTTATAGCTTTAGCGTGAAATTTTACCTTCGAACTTCAGAGGGCAAGTTTTAAAGAAAACACTCATGCAATCTAACACCTGAGACTTATCCTGAGGTTATCATGCTCATAACATGTTCTGCTTTCAACCAGCTTTTGTACGTTGAAAAAGTCTACTGAGGTGGCCGAAACGTCAGTAAAGAGTCATTTCTATATATGTGGTTTCATTTGGCCATTTTTTCGGGAAATCATCGACATTCCGTCGAAATAAAAATTTTGGAAGAGGCTTCGTTGTACCGAATGCCAAAGAAAACGTATTATAACACGTGAAACCGTATCTACTTATCGACCCTGTACTATTATTAAAAATTCATCAGTTAATTCTACCATTTTGTTTCCGAAAGATTTATTTTGTAGTATTCAACTGGCTTCATATACGCCCACACCACTCGAGAAACGTTAAATGTGAATGCTGAAAGGTATAAATAAAAGACGTTGAAAGAAAACAGCAGTCTTCGATATCAAAAACGTTGTTAAAACATCCCAAGATTGATGTTGTGGATATCAGCTTGTCTGTTTGATTGTTAGATTTTATTTTTAGCAGGAATTAAATTGGATTTATGTAAAATCACAATACAAGGCGATTAAAGAACGGAGGCATTATTTATAAGGCAGAAGGAATAATGGAAGTTGGTTGAAATAATAGTCCTCAAATACCTCCTTACTGAAACGCGCAGTGAAGATAGCCAACCATATACTGTATTATATTGTACAATGGATCTGAAAGATATAGCAAAACGCAAGAGCGAATTTTGAAATATATCTACTTTAGGAGACTCAGTGTTTGGTTCTATTACTGACTCATAGATGGCGCTGGGATATTTACTCCCTTTCAGGTACAATACGTTGATCAATGCCTGAAGATGTCCAATTGAAATAGGCATAAGGAATAAGGAATGCGAAAAAGAGCGCCAGCTATGAGGCAGCAGTAGAACAGTCTACTTCAATTGAAAGTTCTACTAGTGTCTCATATGGTTGACTTTCTTCAGGTAGAGTACGTTAATCAATGGTTGAAGTTATAATTTTGAAATCGTAGAAAAATCATATCGCCGGAGTGGAACAAGGTATCGACTTGGAATTGTGTGAATGCAGTGCATAACTAATATATACTAGATTCAAACTACATCAATGGCGTGGAAACTGGGATATTTTTACCCCTACATAATAAAAAAGAAAAATGTTTCTTACGACTTTCTTAAAGCATCTGAGAGAATTTTTGTTTGTAGGTCAATTGTCTATTGAGAAAAATTTTCAGACCATTTTTTTATATATTCGAAATTCGTTATTTGATGTAACACTTTGAAAGTAAGTTGAAGTTAGTACCATGTGGTATGTTAGCGATCGAATTTTATTTCACCACAGCATTATCAGTGACACAAAAATTTACTAGACATTTTAGGACCTTTTTTGTTACTTTTTATGTACTTCCTTCTCACGGGATATTGCCATTGTTTTTTCTATAGGTAAGCCTGGGAGTAATAATTTGATAGTAGTTTAACTTAAAAGTTATAACGCTAAATCAAATTGCTATTTATTACGTTTACTGATACTATCATACTAAATCTGTATTCTATCTAAGACTGGAACACTAACCATAAATACAAAATATTACGATTTCCAAGAAGGCTCTGTCATGCTCCTCAATATATGCATAAAGGTTCAAAGGAATCGAAAAAAGACCTGGTAAAAGAACACGACAGCGCAACACGTTAAACGGAAGAGGAAAGTCATTTTGTTGGGAACGCTTTTGAAGTGCTTCTTTTCGGAATGCTGCAAAGGGTAGTATAAAATTCCATTTTTGTTTCGTGATCTCTTTCCCTCTCAGCCAACTATTCGGCCAGCAGAATCGACGTTACCACCCGATTTCGTATATTTAAGAATTTTTAACTGGGATTCGTATTTTTGAATAAAAAATATTTTATGATCATTCATTGGCGGAATTTTGAGAAGAATATTTGAATAGTAGGTATTTGGGAACAATTCTACCTGAAACGAAAAATAGTAAGCAAGTCTACGATCTTGGAAAGTATGTGTTTTCTCAAATTGTCAAAGATTTATCCCCCTACCTTTG